CAGTCGTCCGCCTACTCTTTTCCCGAAGGAGGTTGACCTTTCCACGAGCACGGATGGATGCGTTTTGCAGCGTCTTTACCAAAACGTGGGTGGTACCAACACTACTTCTGACTATTGTTTGGCGACGAAAATCTACGGCCACTGCTCGATTGCGTGCGCCTCTAGGTTTTCTATCCGTGCTAAAGTTGCTTAATTTTTCGATGAAAGCCTGAAAGAGGCCGTCGACGTATGTGGCTGGAGGGGCGGCGGGGTAACCGCGGCGACTGTGGGTTGACGGTATTGCATGGCATGATCTGCCATAACCGTCAAACACTCAAGGGACATGTCTTGCGCTGGCGCAAGAGGGAATTAGACGTCTTGTGGTAACTTTTGTAACCACAGTTCCCTAAAAAATGCGTCGTCGTGTGGGATGTTGCCCATTTCATTACACATGAGCCTCCAAAGTTGTGGAGGCTTACGGTCACCCAAAGGCATGTCTGGGAGCACGCGTCGGATTCGCTCTTTGTTAGAGCTTCCCGCGCGTTCTAGTATGACGTCCCGTAGGGCTTCGAAAAGCCCCTCTTCGGGAGGTTCTAAAACCTCGGCTACTAGGTGTTCAGGCAACGAAGAAACGACGTGGTGGAACTTGGTCTTTGAAGACTCAATGTTCCTAGTCGCACATTGTGATTTGAGGACCTCAAACCACACCCTAGGGTTAGAAGCCCAAAAGGGAGGGGGTTGGAAAGTGGCGGCCACCACGGGAGCAGATTCGTCGGATAAATCTAACAAATCCATGACGAAAATAAAAACACTGAATAATCGTATGAAAAATAGGCAACCCCAGATAACTATCAAAATATGTAGACTTCAATTAGCGATAACGGTAAAGTAAAAATACCACAAAAATCACTAAAATTTTCTAAACGAGCAGAAAACGGTTCAAAAATTCCAAAGATATGGAACGAACTCACCAAAATCCGATGATTTCCCAAAATGAACTGAGGCAGTTGAATGCGGGCTCACCAATTTAGTGATTGGGTGGTTTCTAGTGTTCCTCAAAACCTTTCCCTAATGTTTGCTCACTTTCTTGCTGGATATCCGTCCACGAAGAAACAGAAACAAGTATTGGGTGTGTCGAACCGATGTATTCTGAGACTTCCGAAATGTTGGACGTAAGTTTGGCTAGGCCTAGGCTGTTATCAAGCAACGGCAGCGGAAGCCTGAAAGTAGATCCGATCAATACCAGGAAAGCGTGCGATACAGAGCTCACCGTGGGGCATTATGTTGGTTCGGTCTTTTCGAGATAATTAAAGGGACGTTAATAGTTAAAGCAAAACTTAATTCTGGAAGCGTGCAAGTTGCTATATCTAGTGAAGAAACGTTCCCCAGAAGATCGATATCGCCAAATAATGGTGATACGTGCTAAATTTCGACGGTACACTTGATTACGCCCGGTAGTAAAAGAGTCCTTATGTTAGAAGGAAAAGCTTAGCCGTAGTCTAGCTTTTGTAATTAATATACCTGATCGATAAGCTGTCAATACTTGATATCTGAAACTTGATGGTTCTGATAAGTATGTCATGGTTATGTAGCCATGTCCTGATAGTCCTCAATTATACAGGACTGTTTGGAAGCTGAACCTGTCCTGATGCTAGTCACCAGCGTAGGGTGAACGTGCTACTTGTCCGTGATTTGATGATTACGTACAGCTTGAATGGATCTACCAGGAAACTTATAGAAAAACAAGAGGTAAGAAAAGTAAACTACCGTTGCAAAACTGTTGGTTGAAAAACCGGTACAATATGCATTATCCGGGGCGACTTTGTCCCGGTATTGCAGTGGGAATTCTCCCTGAGGAACAAGAACCGCATCAAGGGACATGCACTGACGCTCTTCCAGTTGCAATCAAACGGTCTGCCGCTGATCTATCGTTTGTCGAGGAGGGTGACAAATCTCTGGAATGCGCTTCCGAAGGATGTGGTGGAAGAGCGAAAAGATAGCATCTTTAAGCTAACACTCGAAAGTGCTACGCAGGAGCACTGGTCTGGTATCAACACCTAATCAGCCCAGTAGATCACGATGGGATGGGGCTAATTCGGGACCTCCCACTGCCCTTAACACTGGAAGACTTGAGTCCACTCTTGATTACAAATGACTTTAGACCGTCCCTGTGTAGTATACCGGACCCACCTCAGTTCTGAATCCACTCGAAATACACCAGCAGACTGATTCCGGGCAACGCAGTCCGAGTTCTTATACACAGGTAGGACACATTTCTCACAATAGGTTCTCCGCGGAGAAGCCCCTTCCTTGCGTAAAGGGGGCTTCCAAACGACCTGCAAGACAGGGAAAATACAAAAAGCAACTATAAACCAAAAGGTCCAGTGAAACTTGCACACGACTCACAATCAAATAAAAGTGGCTGCGCCCATGTCTTCACTACACCTGCAAGGCAACCGTGCGGCTATCAAAGCTCTCACGAACCCTTCAGGTTGTGCGCTGTTGTAAGTTGCTGCATTTAGCAACCAGAATGGTAGAAAGCCAGAAAGGTAAGGGATACCACCAACGATTGAGGGACCTGGAATTATTATTCCTGGCCCGCAGATGAATGCGGGGCAATCATATATGGCGCACGTTACCCGTGCGGACCCACTCCAACGCCTATGACGGTACCCGTTTCAGCCCTCCTCTATTTTGGTCAGTTTTCAGGTTTGTTAAATGTAATCGGTGAGAAAATGTTTGCGTAGTATTAGATATTTGTTAATGTAGTTTTGGTTACGAATGAGGTTAGTATCCCGCCATTTTGTCTTTGTTACCTTCAAAACGCTCATGCCATGTCAGGTGGTTCCAATATCCATTGACTGATGTTAGAGTTCTAAGGTAACACTTAGGTGCCGAATTTAAAGGACCAAGGTTTATTAATGAAGAAAACGTGTTTGTGGTCACCCAATGCACATTCAAGAGTTTAAAAACAGGCGGGATGGTTGTTTGCCTCATCAATCCAATCACAGGAGTGCACACCAATAAAGTCGAAGAATTATGGAGTAGTATAGCACGTAGACTGAAGATTGTCACAAAATCTGTCGGTGACATAATTTGGGACCATCTAGATGAGGTGCAATACCGTGTGGTTTGATTTCTCAATCCAGGTCGCACTATAGAGACTATTAAGATTGTCAAAGACCTTTCTGGTCTAGTTCGAATTCTTTTTCTCGTTTTTTCCCTCCAGGGGCACGAGGACTGGGAAGAAGTCATTGTAGAATAAATCCACGGGTTAGGTTATTCACAAACAGGGTTATCAGTTCCGTTTGCACAACCATTAACCATCTACTGTCGTGCGCCGGTTTAGGTTGCTGTCTTTCCGCTACCCATTTGAATGAACATTAGGAGAAAAAATCGGAAAGGTTGAAAGTGGTTGAAAGAGAAAATTGAGAGCTTCAGTGGACTAGTGTTGCAGGGAAAATGACAAGATGCACGAGCGCCACCTGATTTCAGGTGCACTGCAATCGGTCGGTGCATACACCTATACGACAAATTAAATCAACGCATCGTTCTGTAGCTGTTGACTCGTGTTGAACCGTTGAGACGTACAGCACACACTCGGGTGCTGAGTGGAATCCAGTCAAGAAGCGAACGCTCAACCTTGGCACTTAGCGCCATCCCAACGCTGCGAGCTTTGGATTCCGAATCGCCTAACACACGGAAGGTGAAGCGTGAGGTAGGAAAACGCATGGAGATAATTGAGATATATGAAGTTGGGTCTTGTATGCGTGTTTCGGAAACAGAGTTATACCGCTGAAATTAATTACCTGAAGCAGTGGTTAACCATATGAATGTTGAATCTTTCAAGATAAAGCTAGACGAGTGCTGGGCAGTGGTATTTCCTGAAGTTGAGTGTTAAAATTTAACCGCTAGGCTTTACTTTTCGGAGCTTGGTAGGGTTCTGATACTACTCATTAACAGTGCCTTTCAGATCATCATCGCACAGCGACATACAGTAAAGCCAACTTCACTGATTACCGCCAAGTTCAGTTCAGTTCTTACAGCCATTAGCCATGTTTTATCGTGTGCCGGTTTTNTGGCTGCTGTCTTTTGCTTGCCCATTTGGATAAAACAGCAGAATGATGATTAAAATGTCGAGATATGGAGAAGGCTGCAACCATTGATAACAGCCAGGATCTTTTCCGTCTAATTAGGAATACAGTTGTGAGTAGGTGTAAGTGACGTAATTAAGGAATCTGAGGTCAAATGGATTCATCAGCAGCAACACCGCGTTGAATGATGGGCTGAACATATCGAGGCTCGGTTCAACTGGCTCCCATTGACATTAGGCCCGTCACCCCCGCCTAGATTGAACGGATATTACCAGTTGATATCAGTCATCCATCTGAAATGGGTTTCCTGTGATTTAAGCCATCTCAAAAAGGGCCTCCTGACCGATGGACTGTCCCCATCAGCTTTTAGGGAGGGAGTTTCAGCCTTGGTTATTGCAGTTACCGAAACTCTTGGGTTAATTATCGTAAAGGGAAAAGTTTTTTATACTGAATTCCGCTAGTCGGCCATCTTGGTGACACAACTAAAACCACATAAGTTACTTTCATCAACATCGTCTGTAATCCCTCGCTGTTATTATACTTCATCGATTGTATGCCGTGTGCGAAGTTCGCACTCATGAGAACCAGGCTGGTTTTAGACTTGGTCGATGTTGCTTAAGTCAGATTTTCACTCTTCACCAAATTCTGGAACACAGACATTCATTTCGTAGACTGACGATTTATATCTTCCTCGATCTGAAATCGGTATTTGATTCACTCGATCTTTCTAAATTCTGGAACTTCCCCTCAAAGGTTTTCAAGAAAATAAGATTTTAAAATTAGGATTCAAATGGACAGTCACAAAACAACAAAAATCGCCGCACGAAAGTGGATGTTTAAGGGTTGTTTACAGTAAACGGTACCGAATAGAATTCATTGTAACTTTGATTCACCTGATGGCGATTTTCTGTTACAGATTGTTACCTTATGCCAGCGCAAACAGTGCATGTCATTGTATTGGGCGATGTAACGCGATCACCAAGAATATTAAGCCAAGCTTGCTTTCTGGCCAACGAAGGATGTTTCGTTACCGTTTCTGGATACAATGCTTCTCTCAGCGTGGCTGCGAAGACGAAAAACATGAAGGCCCTGGATCTTATCGACATTCCAAATCTTAGGAAATACATGTTGGTCTCCACTCTTGCCCTATTAGTAAAGGTGAGCTGTTTTTTTCAAAAATATTGTTAGTTCTTCTTAAATTCTATTTTCCTTTTCTGTCACTTACTTTGGAATTGTCGAAGTCAGGTAATTCTAGTCCAAAATCCTCCGGCGGTACCGACTCTGCTGGTTTTGTGGATGTTCATTCGACTCACTGGAAGAAAATTAGTAATTGATTGGCATAATTATGGTTTCACCCTGCTGGAACTGACCACAAAACCTGGGACATTACTGCCTCGGTAAGCCGTCACATTCTAGATTATTTTTGCAATAGCATTTACCGAATGTTAGAGCTGACTTTCGCTTCCTTCTTTCTGAGTTCTGACGTGGTGCATTTATGTGTCTCACGTGCACTCAAAAAAGATTTGTCACAGTGGAATATTGAAGCTCATGTGTACTACGATCGCGCCCCTGATGACTTTACTGCAACGCCGGTGGATGCGGCTCACGAAGTATTTATGAGGTGAAGTTATATGACGTCAAATGTTGCTATTTTTTGATTTACTTTCTATGGTTTCTGTTTTTACCCTCACAATTAGTTTAACAAAAAACGAATATATAATGATAGTTAATTTTATAAACCCGCTACCACTAATTTACAATGCACTACACCTTTTCCCGTCAAGCTGTGACCGAAACCCGCGATTCTTTAACTCCAACCCGTAATCCTTTAGTCGAAACCCTTGATGCTTTAGCTTGAACCCGGTGTCCTTTATCCTCGACGCACAAACTTTGGTCATTCTGCTGTAGGCCTTTCAGATGAAAAAGTATCGGAATATTCCGAATGTTGCAACATTTTATTTTCTACGAATGTTTTTGCCGCTGCTTCGTTTTAGAAATGAGGTGTGACAATCATGTGCTGTGCAGTTAGTTGACCGTCGCAATAGTATCAAATGCGGTATCGCATGTTGATCAGAGAACGTGTACACAATGTGCCCGTGTCGTCAAACCATTTAGCACATCTCGTATGACTTCAGTGTTCTGATTGAATCCGTTTTAATGGGTGAACAAATAACCAAATTAAAGGATTAAAAACGCTCACCTGATTGAGTTTACTAAGCACTTCTGCTAGCGGGTTAAAAAAGGACTGTTTAATCGGAGGAGAAATTGAATTTTACGGTAGCTTTGTTATGGCACATCCAAAGCCATCCGATGAACGGGAGCATTGCCCAAGATAAAAACGACTAGAACGCCCGGTTGCTCAATAGCGATTAACGCGGAGCAGCTTTTTTATTACACGATGAACAACAGACGGGGCGAACCCCCATAGTCACAAGGACCTGCTATTCAGTGGTGGAAACCGGTATCCTGAGATCCGGGACTTGGAGTGGTGAACCACATAAGGCCTCGATAGGTTAGGAACCCGTTGAAAACATGCCAAGTAACCTGTGTATGACGTTCCATCACGACGAGAATATAGCTTGACGTGGTGTCATAGCTTGCGTGCCTCCATGACCCTGCGAGCTGCACAGGATGGCTTTTCACAGCCACAGATCCAATTATACCTGAAAGGGCAATGGGTAGAGGCTAGACAAAGCTCAGTCTCACAAAGCCATTTACTTTGGCACCTGGATTCGTCTACTCACGCTCGACCTTGAGTAGGTCACTCCAGCAAATAAACACAGTGAGGGGCATTTTACCGGTCGAAAAATCCCACTAGATAGAGCCAGCAGCGGGGTATCTGGGGCCTCCTCTCGATAGTGAGAGAAGTATTCACACTTAATTGGACAGCTACCACCCGCCCAAGCTGGGCAGCCCCAGCCAATAAGGTGCTGTCCCGTCCGCGTTCCGCTTGTCTCATCGGGTGTATGTTATTAAGGGTCAATCCTGAACGGCTGACTGACAATCAACGCACTAGTGAACAGTACCGAACCGAAACCCGAAGACCTTGCGTAACAGGTCTCTACGGGTTCCGATACGTGTGCTTCGGTCACACTTCCGCTTTGGATCCATGTCCCCCTACCTTGTGCGTGAGACTTTTGAGTCTAAGACTCCAGTCAGGGTTTCCAAAGAAAAACCCCTTCGTCGGTGTGAGCTATCGCGAAATATGCCTTGTCCTAAAGTCTTAGGTACCCATTCGGAAAGCCCTCTTCTCACTCCGAAATCTTAGGGGATACCTTGTGTTTTCACCACCCATGGGATATCACTCAGCGTTCTACCAGTAAGGCTAAACAATCAGAAGTTACAGGACTTCTGAACCCAAAATTCCGTTTCTACTCAGCCACGTTCAATGTCCGCACACTACCAGATCGTTCTACAAGCTAGCTCAGCTAGAACGTTCAATTTGGAAGTATTTTTTGCCTCCTAAACACGCATACAAAACCCTACTTCAATCATCTCCCTGCGTTCTCCTGACCCGACCTCATCCTCACGCTTTTCATGCGTTTCTTACTCTTATTTCGCCTCTAGCTTGATCTGAAGGTCCAAACGATTTTCCCTCTTTCTGACGATATGTAAATTGCTGTTGACCTGCATCTTCCTCGTGTTTTTCTATTCTCAACTCGGTATTTGAAGGCTCAAAAGTGAATATCCATCCCTTGGTGATCAATCCGGTTCGTCCAGGAAAACACGGTTTACGGAAATCACTACTCTCCCTACGGATTGTGGAGGACAAGTTGCTCAGTGGCGTATTGATCGACCCGCTCTGGTACTGAGCAGTTGCAGTTATACTCCTGATGATGATTTCCGCATAATGATTGAAGCACTGGAAACATATAATCAATTGGCCACCCAACCCGACTCCAAACTGCCACACATGGTTTTTGTGGTGACTGGTATGTTTCTAGTTCAGGTGTTCATGATAATCAGCTTCTATTTAATCAGTTTCTACAGGCGATTTTGGTAGTTTAAACATTCTACATTCATCCGAACAATGGTCTCATTTTATTTATACGGTTGCGCGCAAAATACTTCCAGGAACATCTTGTTTTCACTTAATTTATTCTGTCACCCGTATGCGCTGTTTGATATTCAGATTGCAGTCATGCTTTTGTCAAATAAAACTGAACATAAACTATTTTTGCTGGGAAAAACTTGTCAGAGGGTTGCAATGAACTATTAAAGTCATATCCGACGAGTAATAAAAATAACCTGGTGGTCAAGTGGTTAAGGTCAACTAAGTAATCATTTGGTTATCCCGAGTTCAAATCTCGCCACCGCCACTGATCGTATATGTAAGTGTTTCCTCAGGAAGCTTTTGTGTGTCATCAACCTCATTCCTGTACCTTTGTTTACTCAATAAGTAAGAAAAGAAGTAAAGTTTAAAAAAAAACGTTGCCAACGGACAGGGTGAAATTTGAGATGGGTAGCTGAACTAATTCTCATACGTTCATTCGAGTTCCCTTGTGGACACAAGTCCGGGGATGGGAAACAATCGGTTTGGTTTGTGTATATGGGTATGTTTCAGACCTTTCTGGATAATTTGACGAATGGTTTTCCGCATGGGGTTAGCATTTTCAAGGAATAAAATATTGTCACTGGCTCAGTTCCCAACCTCGTTGTATTTGGGGGAAACAATAGACAAAAGTGAACAAATTGTGCTATTCGAGTAGCTCTATCTCCCCCTGCGGACGCCACGAATGAAGTGTCGGCAAGGATACATAATAATCACCTATTGTATACCAACTTTAAACATTTTTCTGTTGACAGTCAATAATCTTCGGAAGCTTGGTGAATATGGTGATTTGGCGATCAACGTTGAGGCAATGTTTCGTATCTACGAGCGTGTTTTGCCTGGAATTTCGTTGTCATAAGAAATTCATATGGATACTTCTGTGGGGCAGGAGACGTCCTGCGTATCCTGTGCTTCATGTTCCTTTTTCTACTTCGGGCCGGTGGAAGCTACATGAAGTCTGAAGCTACCTCAAAGGCGATGTATGTAAAAGTAACTGCATGATAAATCGACTGAAGAAGGCCTCTCATGTCCTACGGTTTAGTAATCAAAAGATGTTCACTAAAGATTTGAATGTACACGACAGAGAACTGGCATCGGTGTCATTCTCAGTGTTCAACCATTTAAGTTTGTAACTTTCCCTATCGCTTATATTGCTCAACTACACCATAAATTGAACAATGCACTCATCCACTAACCCGGGAGTGCAGCTTGACCCAGATAAATGGGTCGCAGACCTCGTGTTTGCGAACGATATCGTCGTACTTTTTGATACCATGAAAAACCCCTAGCCCGCTGTCAGTCGCATGAACCAGGTTGCTCAGACCATTAGACTTCATATCAACACGTCGAGCTTCAAGACAGATTCTTCCCAAATTCCTAATCCGACACGTGCACTGTCGATCAATGGGGAGCCTGTCGAATCAACCCAGGTCTTCAAATATCTTTGCTCTGTAGTCAAGCTGTCGGGCTAATCCAAATGCATCTAGATGTAACTGAAAGAATCTTCCTGCAACTCCTCAGACAATTGTGGAACCGTTGTAAAATAATCGTACACATCAAGCTTCAGGTTTATCAGGTTTCCATCCGCTCCAACCTCACTTATGGTTGTAAGACATGGCCACCAGGAGGACAATATACAAGGAAGTTGGAGGTTTTTGATCAACGGTACTTACGTCGCATCGTGAGAGTAAATTAGAGAGACCGGGTTTTGAATGATGAGGTTAGACAACCCTGCACGGTCATCGATAAGGTTTTCCAAATCCTGCAACGCCGGTACATTCAGTGGTTTGGCCTTGTGCTCCGAGTATCTGAAACTCAAATCTCGCATCGATGCTAACTCCCGCACTCTGCTGTGGATCACTTTACCGACTCGGTGGTCAACTCAAGACCTGTTACAGTACGATCAAGGCGAATATGGAACTGGTGAGCCTCTAATCCGTATATGGTGCTCAAATCTGGAGCCGGAACTGAGTCTCACACTGGGCCAACCTTGCCATCGATCACCACACTTGGACAGTATCCGTTAGAGACATGCACGACGCCAACTTATCCTCACGTAGGAGTTAGTCGCTCAAAATTAAGTGCAGTTGGACTGTTCTCAGTTTAGTGGCCGCACTGATTTACTGTTTCTCTCCCTTCCACGGTCCAACTTTTCACATATCCACCTGAATTTGGCCACAGTCGCTGAAGTTTACTTCCCCTTTCGCAATAAGGTGGGCACTATGATAATGATTTTGGTTCATGGCGTTCACAGTGTTTACGGATGGCTACCATTCGAAACCAGACTAGTAATGGGTGTTTTCTTAACGTATCTCAAGTGGGCCTTGATTTGATACTTTACTGTGGATGATTCCTGGGAAAAGATAGGTGGGCTTCATAGATTTCCCGAAATGCAGCTGCCAACGGTCGGCGGCAATATCTGCGCCATCAGCGATTGCCGTAGTCGGCGCCGCTCTGTTGAAACATCGGTTTCTGACAGCGTCATTGGCGTGCTGCTCTCTCCATCATACTCTCAGAATTATTCTTCGGCACCAATGATCGAAGATTTCTAATCGTCGACAGTCTTCCACTCTAAGTGACCAGGTTTCGCAGCCATACAACAAGAAAAGACGGATGGCCACGGAGAAAACGTATTTTTGTCTTCAGGTTAATTTATTTCCTACTGTTATGGGAATTCTTCACCCTTCCTAGCAGCGTCGACACGAGATTGTACCTCATCTTCAAAGTGGAACTGTCACAAACATTTTGCTTTTCGATATCATCAGCGAATTCTAAATCGGTGAGCCAGAAGTTCAGATAAACCTGAGTTCCTTCCATGAAACGACCCATCATTCTTTCACCGGGAGAAACTCTAGCTGTATGAGTAACCTGGGTTGATCTCTAACATAAGAAACGGATTCGCCGTTCGACACCACGTTCACTCTACCTCAAGCCCAATGCCTTTTTGATAGCGGAGAAGCGCACTGGAAATCACATGTAATTAGGCTAATCACGATGTGGAAAAGTTGGGAGTCATCATAAGCGCATCTGAAACGGCTCTCCAGGATCGAGAAATAGCGCACCAAGGGATAGAACCAATGGGCCAAGCTGAATATTGACGGAGAGATCGATGAAAATCCTCCAACTACTGAGAAATTGACAGTAGTTAAGCGAAAAAGCGTTTTTTTTCTCGCAGCGCAGCAGAGTACACAAAAAGAATTGTCTCAGTATGTGAGAGGCCAGGGCATTAATTCTAGTGCAATGAAATATATGCGAAAATGACGAAACAGATAAAAAAGACTACCTCAAAACAACAGTCGCACTCTTCCTCCCAATGTCACAAGCGAGGTCAGAACTTACTTCACTGCGGCCGGCTCCTTGGAAAGAATAAGCCAGCTTCAGACATGATCATGAAGTTCCTTGGAAGTTTAGTACAAGAGAAGTCCCCAGCGTAACTCGACCCTTTTTACTTTGAGGGCGCACCTATATCCTTTGCACAACCAAGTGCGCACTGCAAGGCAACAGGAAGGAAGTAATCCCTCGCCTCGGAGGTGAAGGGGCTTTAGTTTTAAAAGGCCAGTCACATCGACCTCTGTCACGACACCGTCATTGGGCTTATGCGGCTTTTAAACAGGAGCCAGGCAACTAGCCTGAAACCTATCACACCCTGATAGTGCCGCCGCTGTTTGTTTGCGACTGCTTATTTGTTGCGGTATGCCACAACTTATTCACAGCTAACCTTCGGTGAAGGTATCCACCTATCCACAACCCGGGGATGCTCCTGGTAGCATTCAGCTCTGCTTAACCCGAGAGTATCCGGGTCAGAACACCATGCTTTGACCTACTTTATCCACCAATACCTTTTTTGTTATACAGGGGTTAGCTTGAACTTAAAATACTTCACTCAATGATGTTATTGCATCTCCTTCCGACCTTATCAAGTGTTATTTCCCCTTGATGAATTTTAGGTCGGGGTCCGTTGAAAGCTCATTACGAGCAGCTGATCCGAGAAAAAAATTGGGATCATGTTGAAGTGATTATGCCGTGGCTAACGACAGAAGACTATCCAATTTTCCTTGGTTGCGCCGATCTGGGAATCAGTTTACATCGCAGTTCATCCGGGTTGGACTTACCAATGAAAGTATGTGATTACATGAGCGCGCTGAATCTATTTGTTATTTCTGACTGCCAGAACAATCTCGATTTTCCGTAACCTATTCTTCCCACCACGTGCATAGTTGCTTGGGAACAACTAAATGATCTCCAATTGTTCACAACCCGAATAATTGTATAGATCGTCGCGCAAGCACGTGTTCGCCCAATGAATTGTGCATTGTTGGAAATGAGCACATTGGTTTCTGACTAATTGCATGTGGATGTTTATCAGAATTAAACGTATTCTGGCTCGTAACAGAGTATAATCCATATCTACGGTTGTTAAACGGTAAAAGTAGTGGCCTTNTTGAATAAATCCTCACTAGCAATAGCCGGTGGCGATGTGGTCGATTTGAGTCAATCACTGTGAAGAATCCAGGAGTTGCCCCGCAAGGCAGTATCGGTTCTTGTGCTTCATAGAAACGGTCTTTCTTTTGCACACAATTGAAGTAGCTAATCTTCGTTGTTCTCCCGATTGGCTGGGATTTGGGTCACCTAGTCGCCTTTCGCATTAGTCCAGCGATCCTGTTCAAGCGTCGAACTCTCCGGAGACCACTACGATGTTCTTTGACCGAACACTTTGGAGCAGTAAAGAGAGATCCTTCATTTCAGGTACACTGCAATTAGTCGTTGTGTACCTAAACGCAATGACCAACCGCCGGTGCTTCGTTATGTATCCGTACTGAACTGATGTGTCTCGCCAAAACTATCACTGAACCTGATGCCACGATGCGTATCCCAACGATCTCAGCTAAAAGACAGTTACAAAACATTGCAAGCCTTTATTAGTGGTACCAGCCAAACGTGCGTTGAGAAGGGGAGAAACGTGCGGTATATATGCGGTTGATCACGTCTTAGTTATTTTTCCGGAATCCTGGTTACAAGGGTGCCGATGGAAAGGATGCACGATTACGCATCCAAGACCCTAGGGAAAACGCCGACACGTTCTCACGGTGGCTGTTGATCCCAATTCATACAAGCTGCAAGAATTCTCGGGGAAGTTTTAGGCTTTTCCTAACCTGACCGATTGAAACGTACAGGGCAAAGTGAGCTACCCACTGGGATCGAGTCAATAAATGAGCACTCAATCTTGACAAAGCAATTCCACCACCGGTGACATCATGAGCGTCAGATGCCAATTTGCCTGACGCAGTCTTAAGTGTGAGGTAAGGTTTGGTATAAAGAATGCAATGTGATAATTGAAGTTGGGTTTTGTATGCGTGTTTCGGGCACGGCACATGTTTTAATTAATGATTTAAAGGGTTTTATTCAAGATAGCTCACTGGCTGATCTGATAGATTGTGCGGATGTTAATTGTAGCCAAGTGAAGAGATTTTGTTTACATCAATCCAGCCGCTTCCGACTGGCTTGCCTCATGAGTTAAATTCTGAGTGGTAGAAGCAGGAGGCGACTCATGATCTGGGAGTGAAATAAAGCTAGACAGGTGGAAAAGGAGCTGTCCAACTAAACCAGCTCACGAAAAGGCATGATCACTGGTTTTACAAACGGAATTAGTTGTCTGGGGCTTTAGTTCACGGCACACTTCGCGGTCGCTTACACCGACCAAGTTGTTTTACTTTATCAATACAGCCTTTGACTCGGAAGTCTGATCCAGCATGGGGACGCAACCGAAGCATTTGTTTGGGAATTCCAAAGTCCTGTCGCGCAAGGTCTTTGGGTTTCAGTTTGAGCTATACATGCACCAACGCTTTCACCTAGTCACGTGATTTTCGCAATTTGGGTTTCCTAAGCATCATCGCTGCAGTGGGAGAATAGTCTTCTAGTGTTATATCCGCTAAAAATCCACTGTTTTCCACACTAGAGTTTATTCTCTGTCTGAAGCACATTTGTGTGCTTCGCTTTAACCTCATAGATTGCGTTAAACTAACTAAGACGTCACAAGGAGTTTCATCGCAGTTGAAAGGTTGGTTTCAATCGTTTACATTGAGATCAAAAGGTCAACATTTCCCTTGGGTTTAATAATGAAGACTCAATAGGCTTAGTGATAGGAAGAATTGACAATAAGCGGCGAGAATCCGACGGTTCCTGCGTTATGTCGCTTCTCATATCATTTCTTGCACCTCTACTCTGTACATTCATCAATATAGCGTGAGAGTGGTATCACTGTATTCCATTGGATAATGGTAATGAGAATTTCTATAAAAGTGCCACAGACTAGATGGTTTCTATTCTTGAAACGCGCACTTGGTAAAGTAATCGTTAGAATTTTTATTCTTTGTGAGATTAGAGCGAGGGAAAAATAAATGATTGGTGCTGCGCTTACGACAGATTTCGTGTATGCCTGAAATTCCAAGTGTAGTTGAAATATGTAATTTTCTGATAGCGGAAGAGTTATAAATTACGGTTATTTGCAGATTGACGAGCTCTCACCGTGTTTGCATAGAAGCATTTCGTCCTGTGTACATTAGAAGAGCATTTTAATTTTTTATTACACAAATAAAGTTATACCGAGAAGCAATGTTTACGTTATCTGATATCAGAATCGTTGACTACACAATGCGGACGAGGTTGGCCGTCTTCACACGCCACAAAAAATGCAGTATGCAGACCCAACCTGGATGGTGTTACGCCTTTTACCAACCGATTCCGACAGCGTTTTCGCTTAGCACGTGCGTGGACTCACACCACAAACATTTGTTGAACCGAACTCGGTGATGCTATGAAATGTGAACTGGTATGAACAGTGCCTGTCGAACCTGTGACGGATCGTGAAGCAGGTCTCAATTTGTATCTTTTTCTTGTAATCGGCTACAAGGATGTATTGATTTTAGCCGTAACTAGACACACACACACCAGACAAAAGGATCTAATTTCGACCAGTGTATTTGTATTGCTGGCCTGTTCTCTCGGTAATGGAATAATATTGCGCACGTGCTTTTGCTGCTTCTAGTCGGATATCACTATTTTTATCCATTCTTGACTACCAGAGCTTATGTATGCCGCCCTGTTACTTCGTGCTCGCGTGGATCGTGTACTCTTAACCCTATGGTGTTCGACAACCGATTGTTGTAAGCCTGTTGATCAGAGAAGGATGTGCTAGAACAATAAACAGACATGAAAATATGTTGGCCTACGGAAGCCAGGTTCTTTAAGGGCTTTATCTTTGGTCAACTGCAAGTTGACGGACAAGCTTGTGGTCATGTGACCAAACAAAAACTCAATCCGGAAATGAACGTGCCTGTTTGTTGAGCTTCGCAAGTAGTAGTTCACGTAAATAAATCCTGCTGTGTCGCATCTTATTCTGCATACCTAGGATTACATCTCAGACGTGATATCAGTATTTCACGGAAATAACTGCTAATCTGCTGAGCATTGTGAAACTTTTAACCGTTTGTTCATTTCAACTGGTGTAAGAAGGTCAACTGAAAAACTGTCTAGGAAATTCACTTTCTGATGCCTTGCTTATGATTGATAATCTGGTAAAGAACCAATAAGCAAATGATTATTCACATCGTTTGCCTGCTAAACCGTTTTAATGCTTAACAAGTTTCCTCCAAAAAATCCCACAGCTGTCGCTTCCAGGACAGTTCATTTGGATGAAGCTATATCCGGGTTTTCATCTGCTGCTTACTCAATGCGATTTCCAACATTGAACTTGACTACTCACGCGTCCACCTCACTGAAAGTATTTGTTACCAGAAAACAGTACACGAAAATTCTCCATCTGGCGCTTCGGACCCTACACTCGATAAAAAACGTTTCTTGCTATGCACAGGTGGTTTCCACACATCGTCACCTGAGGTGTATACTTCCAGTTATTTGTGCTGTATTCGCACGGACCCACTTGATACAAGATTCCCGAATAACCACCATCTTCAGATAGTTGATTAAAATGTAACTGGAAGCGTGTAGAAAGTCTCTTATTGCGCCGGTAGCATGTAGGTTGTGTATGAGAGAGAAAGAAAACAAAAGCCTGTTCACGGTGATTTGTTGGTCGGATCGATGTTAACCGTCTTGCGTGGCACTGAGTTCTGAAGAATCATTTGCATTCGGTTTTATTTCATCTGATGGTGTTTCCAGCAATAAAATGTTTTGTTTTCATCACAAAGCACGGTTTCTGGAAGAGTTACCAAGACGTTTCTATACAACTTCCCTTAGGTATTTCCCTTTTTGCTTTACGGCCTCGAAATAGCCATGTAAAGGGTCGATTGACTACCAACAATGAAATCGTTTCTGGCAATCTGTGATTTTGTTTTGTTTCATTTTCCCAGGACAATTTTATTCCCAAGTGGTGGTATATATTGAGATGTGTTAGCATGAATACGAATCTCTGAAAACGAGCTTGTTCGTCATTCTGTTGTTCTGTTTGAAATAAAGAACCTTGATTCAAGTTATTCGGCCCTTGATCGAAGGCGCTGGGGGTTTAATGAGCAAAGTTTTCAGTAATTGGGCGTGATTTAGGATAAATAAGCATCATTCACAGCTATTATCAAGCTAAGTTTAGAGTTAGGTTATGGTTATACTGCATCGGTCGAATTACTAAGAGTATATATATATATATATATATATATATATATGAACTANTGAACTACCACCGACCCAGTTATAGCCCCGGATGTCGGCTTTTCCTCCTCTCACTTTGGTGGGACAACCTCTCCACGAGAAGGCAGTGAGTAGGACTTCCCCAGCAGAGCTGTTTGAGACACTTGGTCGTATGGGTGCATTTCGCGAGGTGCAAGGGAAGGGTGACTAGCCACAACCTTAGACACCCACCCCCGACCATACTGGGGCTTTTGGAGGCAAAAAGCAATTAGCTTCAATACTTATCATTATGGATACTTTAGTCAGACGTAGATCTAAAGGTACTTGCACAGCGAATACAAAACAAACTAAATTCACTGATTTGAACTCTCAAGAGAGATCCGTTTTGTAACAAAATACATGGTTATTGTCAATAATATTGTAATTTTTACATGAGCTAACAATACAACCATTGGGAGAAGTGCTACAACTTATCATGTGCATGTTGGGTGTGTATGTGTGCAAGAACAGAAGAATGAACTGCTTACAACCACATCACCCTCGTCATTGATTGCGGTTTTTAACCCCAAAACTTTTGTGCATTATCAGCATTGCGAATCCACCAATCACAATGAGACTTGATAAATGTGCACTACCGATGAGCCCCGGAAACAGCCATGTAGTACTTCGTTCTTTTGTAACTCGGTAGTATTCGATTCGGTTCATTTATAATCGTGCTGTAGAGATAGGTTTTTGTTTATGTTTTCATCGAAACAACCTTACATATCATGTAGTTTTATATGCTCCATTGCAAGTTAAAACTCAATTGAAATCAGTATCTTGGTTCTTAGGTTGTAGATCTTATGGGAGTTGGCGTACCAGTGCTCGCACTATCCTACGAGACCCTTCACGAACTTCTGCCGGATCACACTTTTGGTGAACATTTTCATACAGCTGATGAACTGGCGAACCAACTTCGCGAATTGCTGAAGCCTAGTCAACCCAAGTCAAGTCGGAGACCCCGCTCGGTGGATCGTTTTGACGCGGTCGGATCTGCGAAACTGCGTGCATATCGTGATGTATTGGTTAAACACAACCGTACAACACTTCGTGGTTTGAAGTACTGGCGTAAAGTCGGTGCACCACCGGTCTATCGTGCTTTAAACGCGTGCTCATGAAATCTTGCGGTATATGGTCTTTCATAGTACTTTGTTCTGAAGGATTTTTATTTTTATGTTTCTCCCGGATTCCTTCGGTTCACCACGTATGCATTCTACGCACTGTGTGCTTTGAACAACTGATATTTTCTTCCATTTCGAACCTCTTTATTCGTAAATGTGCTTGTATAGTTTGCCTCAAGTACAACACTGAATATCAATCGTGTTTTTCTGTTCTAAATAATCAAAAGGGAACACGTCCACTTAAGCAAATGTTTTGCATCATTACGAAAGATGGTCGTTCTTTGAATTATTCATTTCTCAATGAACACACCGTTCACTCGGGGCCAGCAGCGAACTCATTAAATACACCTTAAAAAAGAGAAAATGTTTCTGGCACAAAATTTGAACATCATTCAGGCTTAAGACCAGGATCTCAATGGGCTTTTCCTGATCATCTTCTGAGTGATTATTTCAACTTTTAGCTGAGTTGAAGTACAGAAAACGGGTGGGGGGGGGGG